GGCTCCCTGGCCGGGCAGCCAGCAGGCGGGCCATCCACGGGACTCCGGCAAGCCCAGAGCAGCACCCTATGTGGACATGAGAGCCGCCTTGGTGCTTACCAGGTTAGAAATGGCCGGACCCGGGGACCCCCAGCTGCCACATGGTGGCTGAGGGACCAAACCCTCGGGACTTTGTAATTGTTTCCTATGCCATATGCTTTTGAGTTTGGTGTCGTCTCATTTGTCCATTTTGGCTTTGACTACCTTTGCTTCTGCTGTCTTTTCTAAGAAGCCTTTCCTTGTTGCTGTATATTGGAGTGTGCTTCCTATGTTTCCTTTAAATAGTTTCATGGTTTCTGGGTGCAGATTTACGTGGCTAATCCATTTAGAGCTGAATGTGAATCTTGCTTCTTAATTCTAGAAATTGCTATCCAGTTGTCCCAACAGCATTTTTTGAAGAGACCGGGGTTTTTGCCTGTATTGTTTTCAGTTTTGTTCTCAGACATTAGCTGGCTATACGTGTGTGGGCTCCCTTCTGGTGTTCCTATTCTGTTCCACTGGTACAGAAGCAGACTGTTTTGATGTGCACTGCTCTGTAGTATGTCTTGAGGTCTGGAATTGTGATTCCTCCACCTTGTTTTTATTCTTCAGGATTGCTTTGGCTATTTGTGGTATCTTCTGATTCCAGATGCACTTTTGTGTAATCTTGTGTATTTCTGAGAATGCTATTGGGATTTTGATTATGATTGCATTGAATCTGTATATTACTTTTGATATTATGGTCATTTTGATGTTGTTGATCCTGACAAAGCAGGAACATGGTAAGATTCTCCAGTTTTCAATATCTTCTTCTATTTTCTTTCTCAAAATATTTCGGGCCTGGCGCAGTGGCGCAGTGGTTAAGGTCCTCTCCTTGCACACCCGGGATCCCATATGGGTGCCGGTTCTATCCCAGCTGCCTCGCTTCCCTTCCAGCTCCCTGCCTATGGCCCAGGAAGGCAGTCGAGGATGGCCCAAGGCCTTGGGACCCTGCACCCGCATGGGAGACCCGGAAGAGGCTCCTGGCTTTGGACCGGCATAGTATTGGCTGTTGCGCTCACTTGGGGAGTGAATCATTGGATGGAAGATCTTCCTCTCTGTCTCTCCTCTCTGTATATCCGCCTTTCCAATAAAAAAAATAATAAAAAATAAATCTAAAAAAAATATTTCATTGTTTTCGTCATAGAGGTCTTCCACATATCTAGTTTGCTGAATTCCTAAGTATTAAAGAATCCTCTCTACGTTTTTACAGGAGAATGTACTTACAATTTCTTCCTCATCCATGGAATTATTTGTGTACACTGGTTCCATTGATTTGTGTCCATCAATTTTTGTAACCTGCTACTCTGCCAATGTCTCTTAGGAGTTCCAGTAGTCTCTTGATTGAGGTTTTTGGTTCTCCTATTTCAGTGACTCACTTCCAATGTGGATTAGTCTAATTCCTTATTCTTGCCTAATAGCTCTGGCAAGGACTTCCAATACCATAGTGAAGAGTAGTGGTGCCAGTGGACATCCCTCTCTAGTTACAGATTTTGATGGAAAAGCTTCCAATATTTGCACACTTAGTATGATGCTGTCATTGTTTTTTTCTTTTTTTTTTTTTTTTAATGATTTTTATTGGAAAAGTGGATCTACAGAGAGGAGGAGAGACACAGAGGAAGATCATCCGTCTGATGAGTCACTCCCCCAGCAGCCGTAACGGCTGGAGCTCACCCAGTCTGAAGCCAGGAGCCAGCAGTTCTTCCAGGTCTCCCTCACAGGTGCAGGGTCCCAAGGCTTTGGGCCATCCTCAACTGCTTTACCAGGCCAACAGCACGAAGCTGAATGAGAAGCATGGCAGCCAGGATTAGAACTGGGATCTATATGGGATTCCAGTAGTTGCAATACGAGGACCCTAACCACTGCGCTATCATGCTGTGCCCATTTAGTATGATGCTGCAACTGTTTTTTTTTTTTTTTTTAAGTTCTTTTGATTGTGTTGTAGAATGTTCCTTCTATGCCTATCCTGGTTAGGACTTACAGCATGAAGTGGTGTTGGATTTTATCAAATGCTTTCTCTGCATCTATTGAGAGGATCATATGGTTTTAATTTTCATTTTATTGATATGATGTATCACATTTATTGATTTGCGGATGTGGAACCGTCCCTGCACATCTGGGATGAATCCCATGTGGTCTGGGTGAATGATCTGCCTGATGTACTGTTGGATCCTGTTGGCTATGACTCGCCAGGGGAGTTTCCCCAGTTCTTCCACTTGACCCACTCCTGGACTCAGTTCTCATACATGCCATTGGGGTTTTAAGCCAGTGTCTGGAATAGTGTGCCCTTCCATTTGGCCGCCTTATATGAGCTGGTGAATGTTGCATCCTGGCCCACCCCACACCCTATTCAGAGTGCACGTTTGGGTGCTGCTTCCTTGAGCAGTCCAGACTGCTGTTGGTTCATTAACCTGTGATTGTTGGCAGGCTCCTTGGTCACACCTAATTTAGTCCATCGCCATCCCTTCAACTTTTGAGCTAACCAGTGGAGCTAGTATTTCCACGGAGTTTGGCCCACACATCCCCCACAGAATCTACCCCCCTGATATGGTTCTCTCTTGTGCTACTTAATTCCATGGCCCTGCCTAATGTGACCCATTTCCTGATCCATCAACATGTCAGATAATGGAATATGATCCTGCTAGACAAGGCTGGAGTCTCAGCTTTTGCATGGAATGGTGTTCGGTATATCATTCTTATGCGTAAAGGTCATCTGGTCCCTCTCCTCTAACCTACGAGGTCTCATTACCCTCGCTAACCTTCAAAGGAAATGCTTCCACAGGGTTTGGCCCACACCTTCCCCCCTACACACACACACACACACATACACCAAATCTATGCCCTGACCTGGTTCTCTCGCATGCTGGTTAGTATCATAGGCCTGCCTAATGTGACCCATCCTTTGCTCCGACATTCTGTTAGGTACTAGGATTTAGCCCTGGTAGACTGGACTCCAGTCCTAGCCTTCATATTGACTCTGTGGGGTCGCTATTCTTTGCTGATAACAATACCTACATAGGACTAGCAGGTAGGCTGGTATATCGATCTCATCCATACAGATCATCCAGCAGCCAGGCCCCAAAGCTCCCACCACCCACGCCCTGAAGTCAAAATCTCCTACGTCTGTCCACCTCCAATTTCTCTGAATGTCTTTCTCTCTTTCTCACTGGTTTTCAAATAAATAAAGCTTTGAAAAACAGGGAGACAGAAAACCCACAAATATGAATGAAGGTCATGTTTTATGAAGAAATATTGATTTTTGAGATTTTTTTTTTTACTTGTCTTATGGGCTTCTTGGAGTATTAGAATTATAGCATTCATTAGATTTGGGAAGCATTTAGTTTCCACATTCTTGAAATCTACTGAAATCTGCAGTTGCAGCTATTCGCACTCTTTGCAATTATCCCACATCATTAAATCTCAAGTGCTTTCATCACAGTGTGTCACATCAATGGAGTCCTTTCTCACAGCACATTTTTGCATTCTCAGAGAGATAAAATGGATAAATGCTCATTATACTATTCGCCCCTTTTTCTCTTTAAGTTTCTGCATTGCACTTAAAACTTGTCCAATATTATTAAATGAATAAAAAAACATCAACTTACTCAACTGCGAAAAAAAAAAATCTGCGCATTCCGCAATTATTCTGCTGTAGTTTTAATATCTGTGTTTGAAAGCTGGTATGATTGAAACATTTCTCTTCATGATATTAATAGCCTTTTTCTATTGAACTATGATGATTTTCTTTTCCTTTAAATCACTGAAAGATTAAGATATTGAATGCAATGTCAGTTTAAAACATTGCTATTTCAAATGCTTAGAAAAGCATTAGAGATAAAAGTTAAGTAGAGTGCAGTATCATTCTATTTTTTGAAATTCTGTATATCAGCTACATTCACTTTTTTTATATTAAAATGAGTAACTAGATAAAAACCCAGATAACTGATTAAAATTAAAGGACTTCCCAAACATGTGCAAAAGCAGTGATGTTACAACATGGCCTTTGCTGTATATGTATGTGTATATGCACATGTATCTATTCTGTTCAACTGGTTCATTGTGACTGGCTGGTATTAGTGATTGTTACAAAAATAGCTTTGTCTGAGGCTGCAATTTGGTTTCCTACTAAGCTATAGTTCACTAGGTAGAAATTAAAATTTTATTTTAATTGAAATGTTATTCCATAAAAAGTAAAAGAAATAATGTAGAAATGGTTTTAATACATTCATACTAAAAATGGAAAAATAATGGCAAGGGATAGTTATATATATTTATTTCCAATGTAAGATTTAAGAAACATTTACAGATTTATACATGTGTCTAACTTATCCAATGTAGCAGATTAGTTATCATGTGTTTCTGTGTGTGAGTGTGTGTGTCTGCAGATTACACACTTAATTCATTTTATAATTGTGATAGAAAACAATCTGATACAGAATCATAATGGAATTGTAGCTTCAGAATTGCAAAAATGATACAGGACAATATATATATGGATTGTAAATTTAGCTACATGCACACACGGTGCAAGTTAAACACAAAAGAATTGCACTCGGCTTACTATTACAGGTACTGAATTAATAATTTGGCTCAGTGTTAAAGTGATTATTTAGTGTAATCTGTTTATGAAGCAGAACGGCAATCATAGGGACAAACTGAGTGTGATGTCTTCCTCTTGCCAGTTTATTTGAACAACGCCGTCAACAGTTGCTTAGATTCAAAATATTTAGAGAAAACAACCTGTAAGAGAATAATAAGGGATATTCTACTGTAGTATTGGAGTTGTACAAGTACTACAGGAGAACTTATTTTTGTTTTGTTGTTACTCTGTATAGACTGTAAATTAAATTACATCCATAAAAGTTGCAAATTAAGTATGCGTACAATTCACTGTCAGTCTTTGTACATAATGATCCAGAACTGAGGAGACATGTACTTTGTAGGTGTTGGTGTCATTTGAAGATGTGGCTGTGGACTTTACCCAGGAGGAATGGCAGCACATGGACAACACTCAGCGGACCCTGTACAGGGATGTGATGCTTGAGACTTACAACAATCTGCTGTCCTTGGGTGAGTGAAAATCTGTCCTGCCCAAACAGAAGACTTTTCTATGGTTGACAAGGGAAAGGAGAGTTTCTGAAGTTCCATGCTAGAAAAGACTGGCAGTGATGTCACAAAATCGACATCATTTTCCATGAACAGGGTACAGCTTGACAAAGCCTGATGTGATCTTAAGCTTGGAACGACATTCAACACCATGGACCGTGGACAAATCTACAAACCAGAGACTTCCAGGTAGATGAGCACATAGTGGGCCTTGAAATTAACATATAGCTCATTAAAGGTTGACTGGAAACCTCTTTCTTTAATTTTTATTCTTTTTTTTTTTTTTTGTTTTGTTCCCTTAATATATCTGATGTAAAAGGAGATTTTAAGAGAGAAGCCCCACCAAGTCTCCCACCCACCCCAGGTCCCACATGTGGGGCATGCTCCGAAGGTCTTGCTCAAGTGATTTTGATAGTTTAGCAGTTCTGAATTGCTGCCACTCTCACCACTCCAAGCACGATGCAGTCGTTACTGAATCCACTGATTCACATAGTCCATCATATAGTCTCCGTTTGCCCAGTACTTTCATTGTCAACATATGACTGAGGTAGTTGATTAACTTGTTCTCTCCTGTCATCTGATGGTTAATGTACTAAGTTCAAAAGCTCGATTGGGGGGCTCCCCAAGGAAACTTTGTCTAAAGTGTTCCCAGATCAGATTCTTGTATGTACTAGCAGGAACCAGGCTCAGCACAGTGCATCACCCTGATCAGTTGGTGGTTGCAATTGCTGGGTTGGTTGTGTTTCCATCCCTGTCTTGCACTGGAACCAATGGGTGTTTGCAGTCCAGCCTGATTCTGCCCTGCACATACTCGGCCCTCACATAAACCAGTGGGAGCTGCAGCCCAGTTACACTGATCCAACATAACCCCTAGCAGGCCCGCCCCCTACCCTGGTTTGCCAGTCTGTGTAGCAAACTAGTCCAGTCTGTCCCACCTCCCCTTCTGCTCTCATACATGTCAGTGGGTATTAAACCTGTTCCATCTAACCAGCTCAACTATCCAGCCCTCAAGTATGTTGTTGGGTGTCTCTCTGTCAAGCCACCCCAGCCCCTGTCCTAGTTTTCGTGCCCTTCTGTGGGGGGTGGTAGCCCAACAGGGAGGAGCCCAATATTTCTCTCCCAGGACACTCCCACTCCCAATTATGCACTCTCCAGGTGGTTCTGTGCTTTAACTTGACGTAACTAGCCCCCAGTGCCACCTTCTGCCATCTGATGCTGTGGCTAAGCCCCAACAACCCTCACCCACTCTGTGGATTGCACCATGAGGAGCCATCAGCCCAGCCTGGCTTTTCCCTGATCCGGTCCACATGAGGCTCACACAGGTGCTGTGTCCCTGGCCCCGCCTAGTCTGGTCTGCCCCCATCCCAGAGCACGCTCTCCAGTGGGAGTAGCTGTTCAGCAAGGGAACCACCCGTTATTCCCCTGCCGGTTCTGCCCCCTCCCTTCCTGGTTCTCACATGTGCTGCTTGGGTGCTGCTGTCACATCTGGCACAGGCAACCTCCTCTTGGCATTCCATTTTGTGTACTGCTTTTGTCACAAGTGAACCTGGCTCGACCCACATTCTGTTCTGGCATTTGGATTTGCCAGTGGATGATGTGAATTGGTTCAGCCTGGTCTGCTACCGACCCATGCCTAATGTATGCTTGTTGGACACTTTCCATGACCTCTTCTGGGCTGTTTCCTTTCGTGTTACTTGCGCTTACCTGCCGAGTCTGTGTCCTGCCAGAGACATTGCCCAGGCTCTTCCATCAGAACCCCTCTGAGTGCCAGATTTCACGCAGACCAGTGGGTTCATGAGGCAGCACTACTCAGTTCACCTCCACACTTGTGCCAATGGAGACTACAACTGTATCCTGACCTGAACACAGCCCCATTCCAGCTTGTGCGCCCATTGGTGGGAACCTCTACCTAGCTAGGGTGTCCCTTTAGCTCCCCAACTGGGCCTGTTCCCAGCCATAGATCCCATATATGCCAGTGGTGGCTCAGATTCAGCTTTGGACAGCCTCTCACCTGTTGTGACCCCACCTTAGCCATTGTGGCTCAGCATCAGTGGCTCACGCAGACCACTTGGTGCAAAAACCTAGCTAAGGTTTGCTCAGTACTGCCCGATGCACCTGTTCCATCGCTTTTTTTACATTGATGAGCCATTGCTGCTACTTTGCCCAGCCTGTCTGACCCCGAGGTCCAGACCACCTGTTCACCAGTGGGAGCTATAACTCACCAAACTCACCAGGGGAGCTTCCCAAGTTTCTCCCCCTTATCCCCTTCCAGACACAGTCCTCCTACATGCCACTGGGCTTTAGGCCAGTGTCCGGCGCTGTCCGTCCTTCCTTGACCTAGCATGAGCTGGTGAGCGTTGCAGTCCGGCACACCCCACACCCCACTCAGGATGCACACTTGAGCGCCACTGCCCTGACTAGTACAGACGGCCATCGGTTCTACAACTGCCGTCATTTCTCTTCACCTGACACCTCTTGTTTTTGTGTTTTTAAAGTTTCCTCCCAGAGGATAGCTGATGAGACACAGGAATTCCACAATCTCCATGTGTAGTTTTACTCTAGCAATGCCTTTCAAAATTTGTTGGCAAGTAACCCTACATCTAGAATTACTTATTGGTCTTTTCATGATGCCTAGCACTTGAATCATCATGTGCCACCTGCCAGATACACTTTGTCAGGACATTGTCTTTGAATCAGAGTGCTCAAGCCAAGACAGATTGGTGCTGTTATGGGATGTACGATATCCATCCCAAGCCTTATTTTGAGTTTCTGTGCCACATTTTCACTGCTATCCTGCATCAACTTAAAATACACAATTTGAAGTAATTGAAATTGTTATTTTAAAAAGTTGTTATGTCAATTATTAATAAAGAAGAAGTAATGCTCATTAATCATGCTCATAAATGTCCACATTTCCCTAATATTAAAATGTGCTCAATCTAGAATGTCAACAAACCTCATCAGCTTTAATTGAACATTTTAACAGAAAAAGTTAGATGAGCTTCATGGAGATGGTTACTCTTTTCTTCATTTCAGATCGCTACAGAAAGAATAAGCTGCTTGGAGCTAATCAGGAAAGTCAAGAAATAATCTTCAGGCAAGTTATAATCACAAAAATTGTATAATAACCGAACAGGGAGTTGCATTGCCAAAGGTGACTTTTTTCTGATGATATACTTATTTTTATTGGAAAGTCAGACATACAGAGAGGAGGTGAGCAAGTAAGATCTTACATGCATTGATTCACTTCCCAGGCAAAAACAGCAGCTAGAGCTGAAGCAAGGAGCATGGAACCCCTTCCAGGTCTCCCACAAAGCTGCAGAATCTCAAGGCTTTGGGCTGTCCTTAACAGCCTTCTCAGGCCACGTGCAGAAAGCCAGATGGGAAGCAGGCTGCCTGGATTAGAACCAGCACCCATATGCGATCCTAGTACATTCATTCTAGGAATTTAGCCACTAGTATATCTCACAGGGCCCTGATAAAGATACTTAATATTAGCTGTGCCCATAATTAAAACATGATATGAATGTGAAATTGTACAAAAATGCAACTTAAGAAATATAATTTAGATCTTCTTCCATCTTGGTGTTATTTGCGTACACTATGGCTGTTGATTTTCGTTCGTTAATTTTGTACCCCGCCACTCTGCCAAATTCTCGTAGAAGTTCTAGCAGTTTCTGTATTGAGTCTCCTGGTTTTTCTATGTATAGGATTATGTCATCTGCATATAGTGAAAGCTTGACTTCTTCGTTTCCTATACGTATGCCTTTGATTTCTTTTTCTTGTCTTATGGCCTCTGCAAGTACCTCTAGGACTATGTTGAATAGCAGTGGTGATAGCCGGCATCCTTGTCTTGTTCCAGATCTCAGTGGGAAGGGTTCTAGCTTTTCTCCATTCAGTATGATACTGGCATTGGGTTTTTCATAAATTGCTTTAATTATGTTGTGGATTTTCCCATCTATGCCTACTTTGGCTAGAGCTTTTAGCATGAAGAGGTGTTGGATTTTGTTGAAAGCTTTTTCTGCATCTATTGAAACTATTATGTGGTTCTTGTTTTGCAGTTTTTGGATATGGTTTATAACATTTATGGATTTCCGAATGTTGAACCATCCCTGCATTCCAGGGATGAATCCTACTTGATCCGGATGAATGATCTGTCTGATGATTTTTTGAATTCTATTGGCTAGGATTTTGTTGAGAATTTTAGCATCAATGTTCATCAGAGAAATAGGTCTGTAGTTTTCCTTCTCTGATGGTTCTCTGTCCGGTTTTGGGATTAAGGTGATGTTGGCTTCATAGAATGAGTTTGGGAGGGTTGCTTCCTCCTCTATTGTTTTGAAGAGCTTGTAGAGGATTGGGGTTAGTTCTGTTCGGAATGTTTTGTAGAATTCTGTAGTGAAGCCGTCTGGGCCTGGGCTTTTTTTCGTTGGGAGATCCTTGATGACTGTTTCAATCTCTACCTCGGTTATGGGTTTATTTAATTCTGCAGTTGCCTCCAGACTGAGTTTTGGTAAGTGGTGGGAGTCCAAGAACTTTTCTATTTCTTGGTGGTCCTCAAATTTGTGGGAGTACAGTTCTTTGTAGTAATTTCTAATTATTTTCTTAATGATTGCAGTGTCTGTTGTTATGTTGCCTTTTTCATCTTTAATGCTATTGATTCTCACTTTCTCTTGTTTTTTTTTTTTTGGTCAATCGGGCCAGTGGAGTGTCTATTTTGTTTATTTTCTCAAAAAACCAACTTTTGGATTTGTTGATTTTATGTATAGTTTTTTTTTTTATTTCTATTTGGTTTATCTCCTCCCTTGTTTTGATGATTTCTTGTTTCCTATTGTGCGTGGGACTCTTCTGCTGCTGTTTTTCCAGATCCTGGAGGTGTGTGGTTAGTTCCTGTATTTGGCATCTTTCTTGGGCCTTGACATGCGCTCCGATTGCGATGAATCTACCTCTTAGCACTGCTTTGGCGGTGTCCCACAAGTTTTGGAATGTTGTATCAGAGTTTTCATTGGTTTCCCTAAATTTTTTTATCGCATCTTTAATTTCTTAAATTAATATCACGAGGTGAATATAGAAAGCAGATGGAGTGAAATTACGTTACTTTGGAGAGAGCCAGAGGATGGTGTGCCTCTTGAATGGAGAGAGGTGGAGAAAACAAAATTTCAAAAGGGTCTTAGGTTTTGCAGTGTCCCCTGAGCCTTCTCTGGGCAGCACAGCACAAAGGCTTGTGACACTGAACCTGTGTGTGAGACCCAGAAGAGTTCCTGGCTTCTGGCTTTGTGTCAGTTCAGATCCAGCCATTGTGGTCACTTAGGGAGTGAATCAACAGACAGAATATCTTCCTCTCTCACTCTCCTGCTGTCTGCATATCTGACTATCCAATAAAAATATATAAATTTTAAACAACAACAAAAAAATCAAGGCCAAGAAGAATACTTGGGGGTACAAGGAGTCTTATCACTCAAGAGAGGATAAACCAACCTGAAACATGAGAAAAGAACCCAGAATTTGGGTACCTGTGAGGTGCTTAGCATTCAGAATCCACCTATGGTGTTTGAAGTCATGCAGAAAAGTGCCCTTTGCTGGGGACTGTCAGTTTGCCCTAAGGAGCTGTCCAAACACAAGCATTCAGAGCCTAGGGTCCAATATGAAAATTGAGTTGATAAGGAAAGTGCAAATAGGTAGTAGCTGAGCAGAGCGTCTGAAGTATTAAACTGCTGTACTTCCTACCTCCACCTCTCTAAAATGTAATCCCTCTGGAGATTTAGCTAGAGCAAGGCAGTGGTTGGGGGTTGGGTCTTTGTTCAGGTGTTACATCGTGCACCAGAGCAAATGTTACAAGAAAAACTCAGTGCTTCTTTCTGTATCATACTATAGAAACAGAAACAGAAAATCAGTTTTCAATAGATGTTTTACTTGCTAAGTGACCAGGTAAACTTGGATGCAGGGCAGAGAAAGCACCTGCAAGTAGAGAGCTTAGAAGTCAACTTGCTTGTGAATGGACAGAAGCAAGACACCGTAGCTCATTTGAAATCTTTTCTTCCCCCAGGATGCCTGATGAAATGCCTCTGGAGATAAAGCATGCCTCTAATTTGCCTGAGATCAAACTCCAGAGTGGGGAAAATCTCAGACAACATGATAAGATGCACACTTGTGAGCAGTCTTTTGAACACAGTGGGAAAGAAAAAACTTTCAGCAGGAAGAAGATATTCCTTGTGAGTGAGACAGCTTACACCACCGATGCATGTAATAAGCAACCTGTCAATGTGGGAGAGTCTGTTCAGGTTAAAGAGAAAATGTTAAGTAACAATCCTGACTTTGACAATCATCAACAAACACAATCAGGAGAGAAATCCCATGAGCATTTCCTGAGTGAGAAATCACTTATTTATAAAGAAGATGTCAAAGTCAATGAGATAACCCAAACAGCAAAAAGTTGTTATATATGTGGTTACTGTAAAAAGCCTTTTAACTTTAAATCTTGCATTAATAGCAAACATAGAAGTGAAAGTGGAGCAAATTTGAATGTGTGCAATGAATGTAAAGAAAACATTGACCGGAAGTCAGAACTCATGGGAGATCAAATCCTTGACACTGCAGAGAAGCCATATGAATGTAATGAGCATGGAAAAGCCTTTCACCAGCAATTATCTGTCATTAGGTGTCAGAGAATCCACACAGGAGTAAAAGCCTATGAGTGTAGTGAGTGTGGAAAAGCATTTAAACTGAAGTCATATCTAATCCTGCATCAGAGAATCCACACTGGGGAAAGGCCTTATGAATGTAGTGAGTGTGGAAAAGGTTTTCATTATAAGTCGGTCCTAATCGCTCATCAGAGAATCCACACAGGGGTAAAACCTTATGAATGTAGTGAGTGTGGAAAAGCTTTTTCTTGGAAGTCACAACTCATTACACATCAAAGAATCCACACAGGGGTAAGTCTTTATGAATGTAGGGAGTGTGGAAAAGCTTTTTCTCAGAAGTCACAACTCATTGCACATCAGAGAATCCACACAGGGGTAAAATCTTATGAATGTAGTCAGTGTGGAAAAGCATTTAAACGGAAGTCACATCTAATCACACATCAAAGAATCCACACTGGGGAAAAACCTTATGAATGTAGTGAGTGTGGAAAAGCTTTTTCTCAGAAGTCACACCTCATTACACATCAGAGAATCCACACAGGGATAAAACCTTATGAATGTATTGAGTGTGGGAAAAGTTTTCGTTACGAGTCAAATCTAATCCCACATCAGAGAATCCACACTGGGGAAAAACCTTATGAATGTAGTGAGTGTGGAAAAGCTTTTTCTTGTAAGTCACAACTCCTTACGCATCAGAGAATCCACACAGGGGTAAAACCTTATGAATGTAGTGAGTGTGGGAAAGCTTTTTCTCAGAAGTCACACCTTATTACACATCAGAGAATGCACACAGGGGTAAGTTCTTATAAATGTAGTGAGTGTGGACAAGCGTTTAAACAAAAGTCACACCTTATTACACATCAGAGAATCCACACTGGGGAAAAATCTTTTGAATGTAGTGAGTGTGGAAAAGCATTTATACAGAAGTCATCCCTAATGAAACATCAGGTAATCCACATAGTGATAAAACCTTATGAATGTAGTGAGTGTCGAAAAGCTTTTAAGCAGAAATCATCCCTAAATAGACATCAGGCAAACCACACCGGGGTAAAACCTCATGAATGTAGTGAGTGTGGAAAAGGTTTTTCTCAGAAGTCACACCTCATTAAACATCAGAGAGTCCACACAGTGGAAAAATCTTATGAATGTAGTGAGTGTGGAAAAGGGTTTAAACAGAAATCATACCTAATGATACATCAGAGAATCCACACTGGGGAAAAACCTTATGAATGTAGTGAGTGTGGAAAAACATTTAAGCAGAAATCGTCCCTAAATACACATCAGGTAAAACACACAGGGGTGAAACCATATGAATGTAATGAGTGCCTAAAAAGTTTTTCTCAGAAGTCAAACCTCATTACACATCAAAGAATCCACACTGGGGAAAAACCTTATGAATGTAATGAGTGCGGAAAAAGTTTTTCTCAAAAGTCACACCTCATTACACATCAGAGAACCCACACAGGATAAGAACAATGTGAATGTTCCTTGTGGTGAACATCCTTTTGTAGGCAGTCAGATTTCATTACACATCAGAATTCACATGGGAGAAACATTACGAATGTAGATAATGTGCAGAAGCCTCTTGGAAGCTGTCAATTTTCATTACTAAAATGTGTAAGCACATGTTAGCTGCCATAAACATACTAGCATGCTCTATCAGCTTACAACGTGAATGAAACAAGCGTTAGCTACATTGCAAATAGAAAACACTAAAAGTGCAATGGAAGTGCAAAAATGCTTTAGAAGTTTCAGCAAGTGTTAAAAAGTAAACATGCAGAATATCAGTGTATTTCAGAACACAGGCTATGTGTTGCTAAAATAAGATGCAATTTGTGTGTGATCTTTATTGTGAAAGATAAAATGTGAATGAGTACTGCTTTCAGATTTTCGTGTTGCTAATAAATCGTCAGTGTGTAACACTTGTTTGGAATACCATCTTTATCATTCACACATTGTATGTATTAGGAGTTTTCTATAGTTTCATAATTCCACATGCTGTTTCAGACTAAAATTGGAAGCACAAATATGAACTGATGCATGTGACAATTCTAATGCTAATGACCCAGCTATAAAGGATCAAGTTTGATCAGAGTGAAGAATCTTGTGACATGTGGCCAAATGTGGATCCCCTTTGGCAAGTGTCACTCCTTGACTTCTCTAGTTTGGGAGATCACCCCTGGATCTCTGCCCAATTATCCTTGTAGGAAGATTTAGGCTCATGCCACAATATGTCCCTGTGGGAAACCCTAACAATAACTGTGGACCTGTGAAGGACATAGCTTAGACTCCTGCACCAAGGAGAAGAATCTGATCACTGAAGTGCAATGATCTAGAGCAAAAGAATACATAAAGTTAAAATGAATATTATTAAATACTCCCCTGCAAAGGAGCAAAACCTGATGCCAACCTCAGGGTTCACTGAGGAAGACATTGAGAAAACTAGGAACTCTGAATTCAGAAAACTCATTATAAAGCTTCTGATCAACATTGAGAAGCACATACAAGAGATGAAAGATGTCAAGGTTCATTTGGAAATACAAAAAACCACAAATAGCTAAAACCATCCTGAAGGATAGGAAGTTAACAGGGGGAATCACAGCCCTGCCTCTGGTCATACTATGTGATGGTGGTTATCAAAACAGCCTAGTACTGGCACAAAGATAGAGAGGAAAATCAATAGAGCAGAATAGAAACGACAGGAGGGATCCCACACAGATACAGTCAGATAATCTTTGACAAAAAATAGGCGACAGTCCATGCAAATGGGAATGTCTCTTCAATAAATGCTGTTGGGACAACTGGTTAATAGCGTGCAGAAACGAGAAGATAGACCCACATCTCTCACCATACACTAAGATCAAATGTTAATAGATTAAAGACCTAAACCTACATCCAGAAACCTTCAAACTTTTGGAAGATAATGTTAGAAACACCCTGCAAATTTAGATGTAGGCCCCGACTTCCTAAAAAGGACTCCAAAAGCAATAACAATCAAGAGCAAAATGAACAAATGGGACTACATCCAACTAAGAAGCTTCTATGCAGGAAAGAAAACAATCAGCAAAGTAAAAACCAACCCACAAAATGGGAGAAAATCTTTGCACACTACATAGGTGATAGGGGGCTAATCTCTAGAATATACAAGGATCTCCAGAACAACCAAAACAAACAAACCACTCCAGTAATGGGAAATGGACAGACATTTCTCAAAGGATCAAACCTAAATGGCAAACAAACAAACAGATGTTCAAGTTCCCTGGCAATAAGGGAAATTCAAATTAAGACAACAAGAGGTACCACCTAATGCCAGTAAGAATGGAAAACATACCAAAAAAAAAACTACAAGCAAGATTTTCTCGTTAGGATGCGGGGAAAAGGAAACACTATCCCACCTCTGGTGGGACTGCAGGTGGGTACAGCCTCTATGGTAATCAGTACGGAGAGCACTCAAACAACTGAAAATCTGCATACCATACGATCCAGCAATTGCACTCCTAGGAATATATCCAAAACACCTGTTACATGAGAAACCAACATCCACCCCATGCTCATATCAGCACAATCAATAATTGCAAAAACTTGGAAGCAACCGAAATGCCCATCAACAGAAGACTGAATAAGAAAGCTGTGGTTGTTCATTTACTTCATGGAATACTACTCAGCTATTCTACAAAATATAATGAAGTTCTTTGTGGCCAAATGGGCCTAATTGGAAACCATTATGCCAAGGGAAATGAGCCAATCCCAAAAGGCTAAATACCACATGTTTGCCTTAATTTAAGATGATGTCAATCTGAAAAATAGTACCTGTAAATTGTAATATTATTTCAACCTCAGATAGCCTGTATCAGATGCAATAAGATATTGTGATGTAACCAATGGATCAACAACCAATGTGAATTAGACTGCTTCTGACACAAAACAAACAATTGTAAAACATGTTATAATTTTACGACCCTATGCTACTCAGAAATGGGGTGGGAGGGCAGAGAAGTCTTCTCTCTCCTCAGAATATGTGAAGACGTGAAGTGTAACCTAACAGGAACATAACAGGTAACTCATAGACAACAGACATGAATCAGCATTACACAATAGTAAAACTACAAAGATATATAGGGAAAATCAAGAGTGATCCTGAAACCTCTTAACAGGAGGTCATATGCACAGAGCACGGGGGGACCCCAGAGTGGAACAGGAGAACAGGAGGTGGCTTGTATCCCAACCGTGGAGACCCCTGGATCCACACCTAGGACTATCAGTACGGGCACCAAGGACTGCAGCCCAACTGCCAAGGAGAACACTGGGAATTGGAGTGCATTTGGAGGCCGAGAACTCCGAGGTCACCCACACCTGTTTGAATCTACCACATGGGGTGTAAGAAGCCCAACTCCTTCTTTGCAGGATCCAAGGTTATGGGAACGATAACCAGGAGCCCTGAGTGGTCCACAAAAAAAAAACAAAAACAAAAACAAAAAAAAAAAAACAGTAAACTTCCTTTGGGACTAGGGAGAGGAGCTTTCTCTGGTCCTTGCTTAGTTCTAACTTTGGGTCCCCATCCTCTGACATTGAGCATCAGGGTTGCTGTGGTGCCCCCCAAAAAACTAACAAACAAAATTAGAACAGATAGAGAACAACAAATGAAGCTTAGAACCAGACAGGAAACAGTCAGCATGGACTCACACATACCTTACTAGGTAGGACACGGAGATTAGATACTCCTCACTGGGCAACGGAAGATTTCTCTATACTCTCCTCCTGAAACAGTTCTACACCTCACCTGTTGAGATATTCCTTGCCAAAGTTATAAGCCAGTTTGGACTATCCTAAAACCTGCCAAATTCAGTAGATTTATACTTCAACGCTATAGCCTGCTAAATACTAAAATGAGGATAGACACGAGACAGCTGAATAGTACCCTATAGCCATTTTATGATGTATAGAAGCTGGTAGTATATAAACTAAAATCAAAATGTCATTGAAGTAGTCACAGGATGTGGTTAAGAACTTGCATTTTGTAACATATTTGTTACTCAATACCATGACAGTTGATTCCATAATGTTGTAAATTGTCATTGATATTATGTTGTGGCTTTTAATTGATCAGGATGATATTCTGCCAGCTCTAACATTGAATGTAGCAGGACAATTAGATGCTGGACTCTTTGCTTGGTATATGATTGCAATGAAAGAATCTCAAGTGAATTTGATTTGTAATACTGCAATAAGTTGGAGGAATTCATCATGGTGGGGAGGGTACAAGGAGGGGTTGGTGGAATCCCAGAGCCTATGAAACTGTGTCACATAATGCAATGCAATAAAGAAAAAAAAAGGAGGGGGGGAATCACTAAGACACTGATGTAGGGAAGTTTTTACATAATACCCAAAAAGCACAGGTAGTAAAAGCAAAATTTAAAAATCAAATTACTATCAAACTCACGAAAATTTTTGTAGCAAATAAAATGATCAGTCCAGTAGAGACATCAAGCAGAATGTGGGGAAAAGTATTTGTGAATTACCCATCTGACAAAATATTTCTATTCTGAGTGTATCGGCAATTCAACAAAATGAATAACCAAAAACCATTAATCTTATTAAGAAATAGGTACAGGACGTCAATACATAGTTCTCAAAGACATGGCATAGCCCCAAAATACGTGAAATCAGCTCTCTCAACATCCCTGGACATCAGGAAAATGCAAATCAAAATCACCTTGAGGCATTACCTCACTACTGTCAGAAGGGTTAAAATCCAGAATACAGACTAACAAATGCTGCTGAGCAGGTTTAGAAAGCACAACACTTACGTCTTCTTGGTGGTGATATCAATAAGCGCAGCTACTGTGGAACAGAGTGCAGAGATCTCTTTAAAAACTAGAATAGACTTGCCATATGATCAAGCAATCCTACTGTTGAGTATACACTCAAAAGGCTTGGACGCAGTGTGTCAGAGATACTTGAAATCACCATGTTTGTAACAGCAGGAGAACTCAGCCCTCATCACACTCACAGACATCAGGAACCCATACACCTAAGAAGCTGTCCCATGCTGCCTCCCAGGCTATGCCTTAGCAGGAAGTGGGAATGGAGCTGGAGAGGAACTCCAATGCCAGCCTTCTAAGATAGGATGCACAAGCCCTGGGTGACATCTGAACAGCTCTGCCCAATGCTTCTACAGCACACAGTGGAGGAGTCAGTGTTGTGCAGTCACCTTATCCTCTCTACTGGAACAACAAACTGCAACACCCACTTTCCTCCTGATTAAATTGATCTTTCTCACTGATGAAAAGGATAGTTTATCTCATTACTAGCTGTTCATTCAAGATTGTTCATTCACCAGAAATAATTAGATTTACAGAATGAAAAAAAAAAAAAAAAGAATTTGCCTCTTCCAAACCTGCTCTACAAAGGAAACTAGAAGATGTTCTCTGACAGAGAAGAGGAATAGCACCCAACAAAACCAAATGCAA